CAGATGGTTAAGCGTCTGCCTTCGGCTCAGGTCATGGTCCCAGGGTCCTGGGATGGAGTCCCGTATCGGGCTCCCTGCTCAGCGGGGAGCCTGCTTCTCCCTCTCCTTCTCCCGCTCCCCCTGCTTGTGCTCTCTCGCTCTGTCAAATAAATAAACAAAAATCTTAAAAAAAAAAAAAAAAGTCTAGCTGCATTTAGCTAGAACCGCATGAAATAATGGATCTCGAGTGTAGAGATGAGAAGTGTACAAACTTGAGAAATGATCAGCATGAAGTCTGACGTCTAGGAACTGATCTGCCGTGTGAGAAAAGAGGAGGAAAGACCACCCCCTGAGCTCAGCAGAAAGATCGCAGGAAGGGATGGATTAGCACAGAAGACAGTTCTCTCTCCTGCTAACGAAAGCAGGAATTCTAGGTGGAACCACCTGCCCTCTACCGGCCCACACCCGAGCCGAGTACAACTGGGGCAAGGCCCACAGCCAGGCACGGGGGGGTTGACTTTACACAGCGCCGTGACCAATGCTGGCAGCAGGCACGCCCACTATGCCGTCACGCCAACTGGTTATCCTTCCCAGTGATTCCGCTGCCCTCAGACCTGGGTCTGGGCCCCCGCTAGCTAAAGTCCCAGGTTCCTACTCTGCTCAGAAGAGAAGCCAGAGACCTTGTTCCCACCAAGATGCCAAGACCACAACGAGCTCCATGCAGCAGCACCTGCAGCTCTGCCTCCCCCAGAGGGAAGGACTAGCTCCTCACCTGTGCTCCGAACCCCACCTCCTCCTGGGCCGTCTGATACCCCTTTCCTGGGCGGTATGAGCAAAATGAGCATACTTGAGGAGAGCTCATCTTAAATAAATAAATAAATAAGAGCTTCTAATCCCCACTCACCTCCAGCTCCCCACCCTGTTTCTCTTCACAGAAAAACTTCAGTTGTCCAAGCCTGGGCCTCTCGTCCTCACCCCCATTTTACTTTTCAACCCGCTTCCGTCTAGCTTCTGTCCTCCCCAATGCAGTGACGATGCTCTCGAGAGAACGAATAACCATACGGGTCAAAGCATCAGATCCTCTCCCGCTCAGGCCGACCCGACCTGTCTGCATCTCACTCGACATGGGTGCCCATTGCCGCCGCCGCCTCTGGCTTCAGGGCCTCCCTCCTGCACCGTCCACCCTCCACCTCACTCCGGCTCCTCCAGTCTCTGGGGCTGGCCCCTCACCTGCCCGCCCTGCAAATGCGGCACTACTCAGGGCGAGTCTGGCCGCCCCCCTCTCCTGCCCCCGGAGGCCACAGAGAAGGACTGGGAGCGCGCTCCTGAGTCTGACAGGACGTTCCTGAGGACCTCAGGGAGAGCACCTCTAGTTCGAGACAGGAGCCACCGTCCTGCCAGCTGAGCTGTGGCACCAGGGCGGGCGGAGGCCTGAGCGGGAGGCAGAGGGGGTTTCAGGTGGGGAAACGGAGTATGCTGCCTGAGGGACAGAAGCACGCTGAGAACAAGTCCAGGGACCAGAGAACAGGGCTGCATCTGAAGAGGAGCCGGGCGGGTGCGCAGTGGGATCCAGCCCTCGTCGTCTGCTAACACCCCTTCCGCCTGTCTTAGCCACACACACGCAACACGGATGTCCTGTCCCCTTCCACCTCTCCCCTTCTGTCCATGGCATGCCCCTCCTCCTCACCAAGGATACCAACGTTACACTTTCAAGGATCAGCTCGAGGTGGGTCCTGCTGGACTGTCCCTAAAAAGCCAAACTTGTCTCTTACTGGACTCTTCCTTTATAAACTGGTTTTTTCTTCCCCAACCAGACTGGAGCCTCCCCAGGCACGAACACACACCTCTGCTTTCATCAACGAACCTCTTACATCAATAACCGCCACTGATAGGTCGGGTCAAGGACTTGGCAGGAACTTTATAATTTTTTCTACTTCACACACCACCTCTCTCCTGTCCTGACCCCACCCCTGCCATGAGGTCCATTTTGAATTTCCCACAGCAACTATTCCAAACTCTGTTGTTAAATATAGGCTTTTCCCTGGCTCCTGCAGCCTACCTCACTATCAACTATGAACCACATGGTACCAACTCCCAAATCCACTGCCAACCCCTATGACTTCCCCAAGATTCAGAATCTTATTTTCATGCCGGCTGGACAGCTCTAGCAGAAAAGACCCCAAATCCCTATGTTCAACAGAGACATTCCTTACATGAGCCTCTCTACCTCTGTATGCTAGAAATACTCTATAATTTAAAAAAGACTTTAAATCAATGTGTCCAGAAAATATTCTAAAATTAAATAATGGATAGTTGTACAAATCTGTGAATATACTTTAAAAAACCCAACAATGAATTGTGCACTTTGAATGGGTGAATTGTACGGTACGTGAATTTTAGCTCAATAGAACTTAAAAAAAAACCCCAGTATGTCCAAAGCCAGACTCCTCCCTCTCCGCCTCCCCTCCTCCGAAACTCCTGTGTGGTAGTATACTCCTTCCCTGTTGACATTTCCATAACCCATCCAGCCGCCGGTGCTGGAAATAGTGAGTTTCACACCCCCATCTCCCTATGTCTAATCAGTCACCACTCCTGCTGACTTACTGCCCCATAAACCCATCCCTCTTTCCTAGCCTTCAGGCACTGTTTCCCACCATACCAATGACACAGCAGCCCCCTTCTGCATTCTCCTCTCCATCAAATCCACCCTCTGTGAGGTCCTAAAACCACCCATCTAAAAGACAAGTGTGGTCATGTTCCCCTAACAAAGCTTTCAACCCCTGCCTTGAGATAAGTCAAGCTCTTCACACACCACACTGGCTTGATGAAGAGGTTTCCATCCCTGTCCCCCCCCCACCAGCCTCATCTCCTCTCACCAGTGCCTGCCTCATACCTCATATTCCAGCCATTCCAAACTCTTCCGGTTTTGACCATACACAATGTAATTTCTTATCCCCATGCTGTTCCCTCTATCTGGGATGCCCTTCCTGCAAGCAGGACACCCCTAATCCTCTGCCTGATTTAACTACTTAGTATCTAAGACCTGGCTTACTTATCAAGTCATCTCCTTCCACCAGCCATGGTTAGAACCCCACCCCTCCTACCCCCACCCCCACCCCCAGTCTCCTAGGCTGAGTTAAGTTACTTTTCCCTGTGTTCCCATAATATCCTGTGCATCTCTCTACCACAGTGCCTACCAAATCCTATTAAAATTCTCTTTGTGTGTTTTTGTCTCCTCCCCAGCTAGTCTAGTCTCTGAGGGTGGGGATCACTCCACCTCCTGTACCTAGCATGGAGCTGGCACGTGGTACCCACCATCTTCACTTCTACTCCTGTTCATGCCTCAACCCAACACGGCGTGGCTCTCCCTCAGTCCCCAGTGATCTCCTGCCAGCTCTTGGACCTTTCCACTGCACTGAATACCTGACCACACGCTGCTTCTCGAAGCTCTGCTCTCCGGATTTCCAGGCCTCCAGTCCCCCCTATTTCTCCAACCACCCTGCACGGTCTTTCTGTTGCTCCCTCCTCTACCCCAGAGGATAATCACCCCAGGAAGCCCTTCTCTGTCTCTAAGCACTCCCTGGGCATCTCATCAACTATAAGGCCCCATATTCTGAAACTTCCAAATGGAGATCATCAGCCTTGACCTCTCTCCAAGGTTCCCAACTCAGATTTCCAGCTGCCACCTGATGACTCAACCCAGATGCCCCTCAGACACCTCATACTTCCTTCTGCCCTGCCTTCCAGATGTGGGTTGATGGCATCCATCACTGTCCAGCTAGCTTCGCAGGCTGCAAATCCCAGAGTCATCCATTCCTCCTTCTTGATCAGCTACAACCCCCCACACCTCCCTGATCCACCCTCTTCAAATTCTAGGGATTTTGCCTAAGAAATTTCTCTCAAACCTAGCCCTTCCCTTCCACCACATCTGTCACTGTCTTAGTTGGGGCTCTCATCACATTATCACAATATCATCCCATCCCTGTGTCTCATTGTAGTTGGGCACAAAGCCTGTTTCTCTTAAAAAAAAGAAAATTTTAATATATACATATATATTAAATATATGCACATAATAAAAACATTCAAACGATACCAGAATTACAATGAAATCTCCCACCCCTAGAAGCAACCACTACTGTTTCTTGGGTATTTCTCCAGAGGTATCCCATGGATACACAGGGGAAAAAAAGCATGTTATCTCCTCAAACCTTTTGCAAATGGAAGATGCAAAGACAGACATATACGCGGGAGATGGGGGCTGACACAGTATACAGGCTGGAAAAGTTACCTGCGTGGTCTGGAGGGGAGGGAGTAGATCACATACCAAAGTGGGCAGCAGTGGGGAGGTGGGACCCATTTTTGGAGACCTTCAGCCTCTGACACTTAGCCCCTACACCAATTATTGGGATCCCCTCACATGCACAGTTACCAGTGGTTTTTAAAAGGCTTTCATCTCCCCTCGTTTCTATCCGGTGTGAAATACTGAGAAGCGCTCACATGGGTGACAGCGCTCTGGAGGGTCGCCTTGCCTGCTGGGTAGCTCCCTGCCTGGGAAAACCTCACTTCATGATTTTACGAAAAATCACTGCTATCTCCGGAACCACTCAGTCGCCAGCTCAGCAAGTGGACCATCAAGGTGTTCCACTACCTGGATGCCCCTTCCCCCAGGACCTATCAGACAAATGCCAGCATGTTCTTCCTGCTCTATGCCCCCTCTTCCTGGGGGCACTCCTTAACCATTCAGCAGTCAGGAACTCCCCTGGCTCCCCAGAGCACTCTGGCCACACCTCTCTTTCCACTTTTCTCTAATTAACAGGAAAAAAAAATAGTAGAACAATATTAAAGAATCATTAAAGCAAGTCCCAGCAACCTAAAATGATCTTCATTCTGTGTGCCACTCTGTGTCTCCAACATAACCACAATCGGCACGCGTGTGTCTTTGTAAGATTGCTTTCCACTTGTGTGGGAGTCCACTTCTCACATTCCCAGCCCCCTACGTACAAGAACAGAGTTTTACTCACCTTTGTATCTTGGCACCCAAAATGAAGCCTGGAACATAGGGAGGGCTTGGTAGCGGTTTGTCAGAAACTACTCTGGGAAACACAGGAAGAGGCGAACAGCATGCCCAGCACTCACAGCAGTATAAAGTCATATAAAGAAATGAAATACACCACTTGCAAAATAGCCATCAGACAAATGAACTGACATGCATACTTTAGGAGCGTTCCAAGAAGGGAAACAGGGACAGAACAGCTGCTAAGTTCTCATGAGGCCATAGCTCCTGAGCCTTTCTGAGTCTCAGTAAAAACCAGAGAACCCATTTGAGGATCAACAACGTAAGGAAGGTCCAGGCGGTGCCTGGCACAACATGTGAACATGAGCTACCCCCTCCTTGTCTGGAGATGGGGGTCAGGGAACCACCAGGGAAAAATCGGGACTATGCTAACTTGAGCAAAACAGTCAAAGGCCAGGGCAGAAGAAAACCCTGATGCATCCCAAGCCCGAGGGGAGCAACGGTGAGATGGTGGGCCACACAGAGTCCGCACCGTTGAGGAGTGCTCTCCTGTTTGAGCCCTGCCTGCTGGGCAGTGCCTTGCTTGGGAGAACCACCTCACTTTACAGTTTTACAACAAACTATCTCCAGATCCGTTCAGTCGTGACCTTGAATTTCCCCCAGAAAACACCCCCAATGCCAAAGCCTACAGGAACAAAGCACCGGGCACAGAACCATACATGATGCAAAGGCCAGAGCTCCGAGCTGGGAGGAAGTGGCTTCCAGCCCCAGCTGCCCGTTATCAGAGTCCAAGGGCCCCAGCTGATCCCAACCTCGAGAGGCCGGGCAATCTCTGAAAGGTTTCAGGCTTTCTTACACATTTTGAGGCACGGCCCAACACTCTAAGCTTTCTGGCTCCTGGCACTCTCTTCTTCCCACTGATTTAGAAGCCACGCCTTCTATTTCTACCCACAGAGGGAACCACCATTCTGACATTTTTCACTACAGATGAGGTCCACCTGTTCTAGAACTTCATAGAAATGTAATCATGAGGCACCTCAGTGGCTCAGTCAGTGGAGCATCCGACTCTTGGTTTCAGCTCAAGTTGTGATCTCAGGGTCGTGAGACAGAGCCGAGCCGGGCTCTGCCAGTGCACAGGGTTGGCGTTGGATTCCCTCTCCCCCCTGCCCCTCCCCCTGCTCGCACACGCTTTCTAAATAAATTAATTAAAATCTTTAAAAAAAAATGAAGAAATGTCATCATGCCATCCACATTCTTTAGGGTATGGATTCTCTGAATGTGTGGTGTATCAGGAGTCTGTCCCTTTCTATTGCTGAGCAGCGTTCTCTCGTATGAACAAACTTGTTTAGCCAGCTCTGTTCTGATGGCACCTGGGCTACTCCCAACTTGGGGCCATTATGAATAAAACTGCCATGAGTAGTCATATGGAGTCTTTTTTTAGACACATGTTCATTTTTCTTAAGTACTTAGGTCTGAGGTGGATGTTTAATTTTCCAAGAAAGTGTCAGTCTCCTTCCCTGAGAAGGTGTACCAGTTCTCCCACCAACAATGTATAGAAGTTCCAGTTGCTCTACATCCTTGCCGTGTACTGTGTTGTCATCTTCATTTTATTTAAAACAGTTTTTAGCCATCCTAGCTAGCGTGAAGTGAATTTTCACTGTGGTTTTAATCTAGACTTCTCCGGTGGACTAATGATGTTGAGCCCCTTCCCATACACTTACTCGGCTTCCTTTACATTCAATTCAGTGGCTTTTTAGTAGAGTCACAAGGTTGTGCAACCATCACCACCACCGAATTTTAGAATATTTTCATGACCTCCCAAAACCTGTACCCAAACAACAGTCAGCCCCCCAGTCCTTCCTCCCCTCAGCCACGGGCAACTGCTTATTCTACGTTCTGGACTTCATGGATCTGTCTTTTCTGGACACTTCATAGAAACAGAATCACACAGCACGTGGCCTGTGGAGACTGGCTTCCTTCACTGAGCACAGTATTTTCAAGGTTCATCCATACTGTACATGTGTATTTCGCTCCTTTTATGGCTGACTGATAGCCCAGGTATGGATAGACCTCACTCTGTTTATGCCTTCATCAGCTGATGGGACAGTTAGGTAAAATGACTTTTATATCAAGAATTTGGAATCCTCCTGCTTGGCTATCTTGTTCCCAAGATGAGTACTTATCATGTGACAAAGCATTAACAACAACAAACAGGAGGCTCACCAGTGCCATCCCTTTCTTCCGGGTATCCACTCCTGCTGCCCTTATTCCAGTTGGGGGCTGTTTGTTTTTGTGCATGTAGGCACGCAGTTTATAATCGTTATTTGCGGGAGGGCTGGCCTGACATGAGCTACTCCACCACTACAGGAAGCGACCTCTGAGTACTCTGCCCATCACCTTTTCTCTATTTTGGTCACAGCACTTCAGTTTCTCTTTGGGAAACTGTCCTTCATCTTGGCTCCAAAGATGGGAGTATTCCATTCTCCCTGACCACAATAACTGGCTCAGGAAGAGGTATGTGACCCAAGTCTGGTCCAAATCAACTTAAGATCTTTCGCTAGGAGCCATCTGCATCTTTTAGTTGGTTGTTAAAGAGAGTAGAAGGGAAGCCTGGGAAGGATGGAGGCATGTGCCTGCCTGAGAGAGAAGCCAACACGGACAGAAATAGCGCTGAAAGACATAAAAAATCCTGGTGACATCGGTTAGCTTTCTGGAAATAACCATGCCTGAAGCTGCTATGCCCAGGACTTTTCAGTTAGAGTCTAACAGACACTCCTTTTCTGCTTGGACTAGTTTAGGTTCACTTTTTTTTTTTTTTTTAAAGATTTTATTTATTTATTTGACAGAGAGAGACACAGCGAGAGAGGGAGCACAAGCAGGGGAAGTGGGAGAGGGAGAAGCAGGCTTCCCGCTGAGCAGGAAGCCCGATGCGGGGCTCGATCCCAGGACCCTGAGATCATGACCTGAGCTGAAGGCAGACGCTTAACCGACTGAGCCACCCAGGGGCCCCTAGGTCCACTTTTTGTTAACTGCAACTAAGAAATCTAATAGGTAATTCTAGGGACAAAGGACTATTAACTGCTAACCCAGTCAAAACCTGCTCTCTAGGGGTATCTGGGTGACTCAGTCGTTAAGCCTCTGCCTTCGGCTCAGATCATGATCCCAGGGTCCTGGGATCGAGCCCCATATCGGGCTCCCTGCTCGGAGGGAAGCCTGCTTCTCCCTCTCCCACTCCCCCTGCTTGTGTTCCTGCTCTCGCTATCTCTCTGTGAAATAAATAAATAAAATCTTTAAAAAAAAAAACAAAAAACCTGCTCTCTAGCCCCTTCTCTAGAAGCCAAGGCCTCATACAAACAAATCCAAACATCCTATACTTAAACCCCTCTAACGTTAGTGCTAACGGGGCTTAAGACAATAAGAGCTTCGTTCTGAATCAAAGGGAAGGAAGGCATCTAAGACCCTACACTAAGATTCCATACTCTCAATCTGGCCATCATCAACAACAATCTACATTCATCAATTGGTTTGAAAAAAATTAAGGAGGTGGTGATTTCTTTCCCCTAGTACCCACCATGCTTCTAGACCAAAGCTTATACAGGGGATTCTCACTGAAACCTTACAGCAATCCCATAAGCACACCCTCTTTATAGCTGGAGAAACTGAAGTTCAGATTGGTTAAATTATGCTGGGTAACTTGGGAAATACAGGTAGCTGCAAAACTGCAAACTCTAAAATTTGTGCTCTCCTCCCAATTTCAAGCTTTGTAACAAGCTCAGCTTATTCAATAGCAAAAGAGATCACAGAAATAGAACCATTTCATCTACTGGAAACTGTCAATCAACTGTTAGGATATTAAGATCACACTGAAAGTATTAACAATAAGATGGGGATTCATGGTGGCATCTGATAAAAAGAGGTAGAAAAATAAAGGTAATTATGACAGTTTTTCCTTACTGAATACCTACTAAGCACTTTTATGTAGATGACCCCATCTAACTCTCCTCACGGTCCCACAAAGTAAGTGCTGTACTCTTCATTTAGAACTGTGGAAACCAGAGTCTTGGAGAATCAGTGACTTTATCCAGGTCATGCAAGTAGTAAGTGATAGAGGTGGGATTCAAATCCAGACCTGTCTGACTCTACGACCTAAGTCTTAAGACTCAAGCAACCCTTAGAATGATCAACATCCAAATCCTGTTGGTTCAGTGTTCAACAAACTGGCTTCTACTCCACAGATACAGAGACCACAAATCCTGTGACGTAACTGAAGTGACGTAAATTGGGTATTTTTTTTCTAATGCAGATGATATATCAAAATTGTATAGGAGATTCATTTTCATTCATTTCATTTCAAAGACTCATTTAAAATCTTTGTAAGGCAGTCAGTCCAGAGGCTGTGGAGGCTGCAGAGGAACCACCCGAGAAGCTGTGAAGATGTCCATGCGCGTCGCTGTGGCCAGGCCCTGCGCCCTCCCTTGGCGGGCCAGGCTGGTCTCCAAAAATGATCTGGGATCATCCTTCATTGCTGCAAGGAACTTCCATGCCTCTAACACTCATTTTCAGAAGACTGGCACTGCTGAAGTGTCCCCTATCCTTGAAGAGCATATTCTTGGAGTTGACACCTCTGTTGACCTTGAAGAGACTGGGCGTGTCCTAAGCATTGCCCGTGTACATGGGCTGAAAAATGTTCAGGCAGAAGAAATGGTAGAGTTTTCTTCAGGTTTAAAGAGTATGTCTCTGAACTTGGAACCTGACAACGTTGGTGTTGTCGTGTTTGGAAATGACAAACTAATTAAGGAAGGAGATATCGTCAAGAGAACAGGAGCCATTGTGGATGTTCCAGTTGGTGAGGACTATTGGGCGGTATTGTAGATGCCCTGGGTAACGCCACTGTTGGAAAGGGTCCAACTGGTTCCAAGACCTGTAGCCGAGTTGGCCTGAAAGCCCCTGGGATCATTTCTCGAATCTCTGTGCACAAACTAATGCAGACTGGTATTAAGGCTGCAGATAGCTTGGTGCTTTTGTCATGGCCAGCGTGAGCTGATTATTGGTGACCAACGGAGGGCCAAACATCAATTGCTACAGACACAATCATTAACCAGAAACATTTCAACGACGGAACTGATGAGAAGAAGAAGCTATACCACATCTACTATTGGTCAGAAGAGATCCACCGTTGCCCAGCTGGTGAAGAGACTTACAGATGCAGATGCCGTGAAGTCCGCCACTGTGGTTTCAGCTACTGCTCCTGATGCTGCTCCACTTCAGGACCTGGCTCCTTATTCTGGCTGTTCTTTGGGAGAATATTTTAGAGATAATGGCAAACACGCTTTGATCATCTATGATGACTTATCCAAACAGGCTGTTGCTTACCACCAGATGTCTCTGCTGCTCCACCAGCCCCCCCGGTCGGTGAGGCCTATCCTGGTGACGTGTCCTACCTACACTCCCGTCTGCTAGACAGAGCAGCCCAAATGAACAATTCTTCTGGTGGTGGCTCCTTGACTGCTTTCTCAGTCACAGAAACACAAGCTGGTGATGTGAAGGCTTACATTCCAACAAATGTCATTTCTATCACTGACAGACAGATTTTCTTGGAAACACAACTGTTCTACAAAGGTATCCGTCCTGCCACTAACGTTGGTTTGTCTGTGTCCCATGTGGGATCTGCTGCCCAAACCAGGGCCATGAGGCAGGTGGCAGATACCGCGAAGCTGGAGTTGGCTCAGTATCTTGAGGTTGCTGCTTCTGCCCAGTTCGGTTCTGATCTTGATGCTGCCACTCAGCAACTCAAGCCGTGGCGTGCGGCTGACTGAGCTGTTGAAGCAAGCACAGCATTCTCCCACGGCTACCGAAGAACAAGTGGCTGTTCTTTATGCCGGTGTAAGATGGTATCTGATAAGCTGGAGCCCAGCAAGATCACGAGTTTGAGCCTGCTTTCTTGGCTCATGTTATCAGCCAACACCAAGCCCTGTTGGGCAATATAAGGACTGATGGAAAGATCTCAAACAGTCAGATGCTAGGCTGAAAGAGATCGCAACAAACTTCTTGGCTGGATTTGAAGCTTAAACTCATGTGGAGTCACGAGAAATACCAGGTTGGCTTTGTCATCAGTTTTTCTAGCAATCAGTTCCATCTGTAAAAGGATTACTCTCATTCTCCAGATGTACATAAATTACATTAAAAATAAAGGTTCTAGGGCGCCTGGGTGGCTCAGATGGTTAAGCGTCTGCCTTCGGCTCAGGTCATGATCCCAGGGTCCTGGGATCGAGTCCCGCATCAGGCTCTCTGCTCCTTGGGAGCCTGCTTCTCCCTCTGCCTCTCTCTCTCTCTGTCTCTCATGAATAAATAAATAAAATATTAAAAAAAAAAAAAAATAAAGGTTCTATATTGGTTGGTGAAAAAAAAAAAATCTTTGTAAGACTCTTTGTATACAAATTTAGAAATGGGGTTAAAAAGGCCTGTGACTTACTATATGTCCCCATTTTCAGCTCCAGAAAGTTGGGTCACTAAAACTACGGATGCTGATGGACCTACCCACTGAGAACAGGGTGCCTCACGGTTGGGCCAGGTATTTATAAAACAGACACTGTGGTTTACAGAGCACCTTTTTAAGATTTTTTTTTTTTAAGTTTATTTATTTAAGCAATCTCTACACCCAACATGGGGCTTGAATTCACGACCCCAAGATCAAGAACCACATGCTCCTCTGAGCCGGCCAGGCGCCCCTACAAAACACTTTCAAGGCACTTTTTCAGATCCTAGACAGCCAGCCCCTCTCAAACAGCAATACCACACAATAACCACAGTGAGCAATTCTAGTGCCCGCATTCCAAACAAGCACATACTTTCGCGCTTCTGTTATGTCTGCCTGAAATGCCCCTTGATCCTTCCCCCCACTTCCCTCTGGGTGCTCATCTTCTGGGGTCCAAATCAACTGGCAGCACAGTTAACACTTCCACAGCAGCACCTGCCAACCTTCTTCACAGCACACACTAAACAGAATACTTACGGTAACATTTGTATGGCATCCTCATGTAAAAGAATAAACCTGCTCACAGCCAGAAAAGAATGGCAGGGGGATCTGGCTGCCCCAGGCGCCACTCATCTGCCCTGATGCCAACGGCAGTCAAAACTTCCAAAGCAGATTCTCGCACTTGTCACACATACACCGAGAGACTGTTTCACTTACTTGTCTCTCCTGCAGAACGTGAGCTCTTAGAAGACTGACATGCAGCTGTATTCGTCTTTACATTCCCAGCAACTAGCACAGGGCCTGGCATCTACTAAGTCTTCAGAATAGATTACTGGACCAAACTGGATCCTGTGAATCTCTTAAAACAGTCTTTCAACAATTCTGAAGCTGGGCTATTAAATATCTTCTCTCCAACCCCAGAAAAAAAAAAATTAGTTGCTTTTTTTTTTTTTTTTTAAAGTAAGCTCCATGCCGAGCATGGAGCCCAACGTGGGCCCAAACTTATGAACCCAAGATTAAGACCTGAGCTGAGATCAAGAGTCGGATGCTTAACCAACTGAGCCACCCAGGCGCCCCAATTAGTTACTATTACACTCTAAGAGGGACGGTCTACTCCCCACCTATGGAGAGGAGGTATTTCTTCTCTATAAATTCATTCACTCAATAATATTTGTCAAATACCTACTCTGTGCCAGACATGAGAAATATACAGCAGTGAATGAGACAAAGTGTCCCTGCCTTGCTTATGAAATTCAGTCCAGAAAGGAACACAGACATTAAATAGTTCCATATCCTTATTAGTTGGTGAAGTAAACACTTTAAAAGAGACATAGAGAACACAACAGATA